GATACTCGTTACATTTTCCATCTAAACTCTAATACTCAGTAATATGATGCCCCGTAGCTCAGTTGTTAGCGCACTCACCTGAGGCGAGTGCTACGAGTGGAAACATTAGCACAGTGTTTCCTTAAGACACCTGCTGTCCATGTTCACCTAGCAGTAAGTAGGTACCTTGGTGTTCGTGGACTGGTGTGGGTGGCATCCTGAGGACAAAATTAATCTAGGTTGTGGGGAAATGCTCAGCATAACCAGAGACTTTCCATATAGTATGTCACTGATGTCAGCTTTGGTCTGTATAAACCATACCCTCGGCCGGGATTGAACCCGCGGTCATAGAGTCTCAAAACTCCAGCCCGTCGCGTTAGCCACTAACCATTGCCATAAAATTCCTCCAACTAGTTTATTTCACACCATAGAAGGTTACACAGGCACCTCTTGACCAATTTAATTTTCTGACCCAAGTTTTTACAGACGAATCTCCAGCTACGGGCTGTGTACGAACTCTAGCTCAATCCCTACTCGTACAACATTACTCAAGAAATCGTAATGCCAGTTAATAATGAACCACCCGTGCGGATTACGAACCCCTCGCGTGGTACATAGACGTGTCCTAAAACCACCCGTCGCATTTACCACAGACAGTAGTACACAATAAGATTCTGACTAGGTGATATTACTACACCATAGGAAGGTTAGTCACAGGGACCTCTTGACAAAACCAAGCTGTCTTAGTGGCTAACGCGAGGCGGTTTTGGTCTGTATAAGTTGTATCATGTACTGGTAGAAATAAAGATTATTACTTTTATTATTATTATTATTATTATTATTATTACTATTAGTACTGCATTATTAGTTGTGTACCAGTAGCTGTGTATAAGTAAAAAAGTGTCTGAGGGAGACTTCCTCCCTGTGACTTGGTTACTCTTAACATACTAACTTATCAACATCGTCTTCCAGCCCATGATGTTCCTTGTGTGTGTTGCTGTACATCTTCCAAACAATGTATTTAGGTCTGTGATAAACCCACTGAGATATACATCTCTATGTGTATATGCACAGAGATACATAACGGTGTATATACACTAGGAGGTACACACCTCTCGATATATAAACACAGAAAGACATGCACCTCAGCGTATATTAGTGATGCGACGATACCAACATTATAATTAACCACTACCAGTATCACAGCACAAGCAGAGTACAAGCTTGCTAGTGAACTCTGGGATACTGACAGTCGTACCAGTATCACAGCACACGCAGAGTACAAGCTTGCTAGTGAACTCTGGGATACTGACAGTCGTACCAGTATCACAGCACAAGCAGAGTACAAGCTTGCTAGTGAACTCTGGGATACTGACAGTCGTACCAGTATCACAGCACACGCAGAGTACAAGCTTGCTAGTGAACTCTGGGATACTGACAGTCGTACCAGTATCACAGCACACGCAGAGTACAAGCTTGCTAGTGAACTCTGGGATACTGACAGTCGTTAACCAGTATCACAGCACACGCAGAATACAAGGAGCAAGTGAACTCTGGGATACTGACAGTCGTACCAGTATCACAGCACACGCAGAGTACAAGCTTGCTAGTGAACTCTGGGATACTGACAGTCGTACCAGTATCACAGCACACGCAGAGCACAAGCTTGCTAGTGAACTCTGGGATACTGACAGTCGTACCAGTATCACAGCACACGCAGAGTACAAAGCTTGCTAGTGAACTCTGGGATACTGACAGTCTAACCAGTATCACAGCACACGCAGAGCACAAGCTTGCTAGTGAACTCTGGGATACTGACAGTCGTACCAATATCACAGCACACGCTGTGATATACACCCAGTGGTGTATATCTGTGTATACACCTAGAGCTGTATATCTCAGTGTATATACACTGAGAGGTGTATATCTCAGTGTTCCCACAGAAGCAAATACACTGTTAAGAACAGTGAGCTGTGGTGTACCTGTGCCTGGTTCCCAGAGTTCCTGTACCATCACAGTTGGCCTTGTGTCCAGACTTCCCTGATGAACCGCTGATCTACCAGGTTGTTAGTGGCAACAGTTCGCACAACCACAAAACCATCACAACCTGGTTAATTAGGAGCCAATGGCTGAGGGGTCCTCTTAAAGCGGGTGACACAGAGGAAGTACAGGCAGGCCCCGCTTATACAGCAGGTTACAATCCCAGCTACAGCTGTATAGGAGGGCCCCACTTATACAGCAGGTTACAATCCCAGCTACAGCTGTATAGGAGGGCCCCACTTATACAGCAGGTTACAATCCCAGCTACAGCTGTATAGGAGGGCCCCACTTATACAGCAGGTTACAATCCCAGCTACAGCTGTATAGGAGGGCCCCACTTATACAGCAGGGTTACAATCCCAAGCTTAACGCTGTATAGGAGGCCACCCACTTATCATGCAGGTTAAAAATCCCAGTACAGCTGTATATAGGAGGCAACCTCTAAACAGCAGGTTACTAATCCAGCTACAGCTGATAGGAGCCCCAGTTATACAGAGGTTACAATCCCGCAGTACAGCTGGTATATAAGAGGCCCCTTATACATGACAGGTCTACTGATTCACAAGCTACAGCTGTATAGGAGGGCCCACTTATGACACAGGTTACAATCCCGTATCAGCTATAGGAGGGCCCACTTATACAGAGGTTCACCGGGTATGCTGAGCTACTGGGTGATTGTCACAGTAGCAATCCACTAGGTGTATAGTGAGATGGACTATACACGGTTAAATGTCAGCTACACTGATGAGGTCCCCTGATTATAGGTACAGTTGACAGTATCACCAGGGTAATGCAGTCAATAGAGTAGCCACCTACTGTGTCACATTAAGTACCAGATGTCACACTGAGGAGGTACTATCACTGGGTTATGTGTCACACTGAGAGATACGCACGCTGTGTGATGTGTCACATCCTTAGGTACTCACCATGGGTAATTGCTGTACACATCATTAGAGTACTCAACTGGCAATGATGTGTCACACTGAGAGGTACTCACCTGGGTATGTCACACTGAGAGGTACTCACCTGGGTATGTGTCACACTGAGAGGTACTCACCTGGGTATGTCACACTGAGAGGTACTCACCTGGGTGTGTCACACTGAGAGGTACTCACCTGGGTATGTGTCACACTGAGAGGTACTCACCTGGGTATGTGTCACACTGAGAGGTACTCACCTGGGTGATGTGTCACACTGAGAGTACTCACTGGTGATGTCACACTGAGAGGTACTCACCTGGGTGATGTGTCACACTGAGAGGTACTCACCTGGGTGATGTGTCACACTGAGAGGTACTCACCTGGGTGATGTGTCACACTGGAGAGGTACTCACCTGTGGTCCACGAGTACTCACCTGTGTGGCACACTGGAGAGGTACTCACCTGGGTGATGTGTCACACTGAAGGTACTCACCTGGGTGATGTGTCACACTGAGAGTACTCACCTGGGTGATGTGTCACACTGAGAGGTACTCACCTGGGTATGTGTCACACTGAGAGGTACTCACCTGGGTATGTGTCACACTGAGAGGTACTCACCTGGGTATGTTCACACTGAGAGGTACTCACCTGGGTATGTCACACTGAGAGGTACTCACCTGGGTATGTTCACACTGAGAGGTACTCACCTGGGTAATGTATCACACTGAGAGGTACTCACCTGGGTGATGTATCACACTGAGAGGTACTCACCTGGGTGATGTGTCACACTGAGAGGTACTCACCTGGGTGATGTGTCACAATGAGAGGTACTCACCTGGGTGATGTGTCACACTGAGAGGTACTCACCTGGGTGATGTGTCACACTGAGAGGTACTCACCTGGGTGATGTGTCACACTGAGAGGTACTCACCTGGGTATGTGTCACACTGAGAGGTACTCACCTGGGTGATGTGTCACACTGAGAGGTACTCACCTGGGTGATGTGTCACACTGAGAGGTACTCACCTGGGTGATGTGTCACACTGAGAGGTACTCACCTGGGTGATGTGTCACACTGAGAGGTACTCACCTGGGTGATGTGTCACACTGAGAGGTACTCACCTGGGTGATGTGTCACACTGAGAGGTACTCACCTGGGTGATGTGTCACACTGAGAGGTACTCACCCGGTATGTGTCACACTGAGAGGTACTCACTGGGTGATGTGTCACACTGAGAGGTACTCACCTGGGTGATGTGTCACACTGAGAGGTACTCACCTGGGTGATGTGTCACACTAAGAGGTACTCACCTGGGTATGTCACACTGAGAGGTACTCACCTGGGTATGTGTCACACTGAGAGGTACTCACCTGGGTGATGTGTCACACTGAGAGGTACTCACCTGGGTATGTGTCACACTGAGAGGTACTCACCTGGGTATGTGTCACACTGAGAGGTACTCACCTGGGTGATGTGTCACACTGAGAGGTACTCACCTGGGTATGTGTCAAACTGAGAGGTACTCACCTGGGTATGTGTCACACTGAGAGGTACTCACCTGGGTATGTGTCACACTGAGAGGTACTCACCTGGGTATGTGTCACACTGAGAGGTACTCACATGGGTATGTGTCACACTGAGAGGTACTCACCTGTGTGATGTGTCACACTGAGAGGTACTCACCTGTGTGATGTGTCACACTGAAGAGGTACTCACCTGTGTATGTTCACACTGAGAGGTACTCACCTGTGCGATGTGTCACACTGAGAGGTACTCACCTGTGTGATGTGTCACACAGAGGTACTCACCTGGGTGATGTGTCACACTGAGAGGTACTCACCTGTGTGATGTGTCACACTGAGAGGTACTCACCTGGGTGATGTGTCACACTGAGAGGTACTCACCCGTGTGATGTGTCACACTGAGAGGTACTCACCTGGGTGATGTGTCACACTGAGAGGTACTCACCCGTGTGATGTGTCACACTGAGAGGTACTCACCTGGGTATGTCACACTAAGAGGTACTCACCTGGGTATGTGTCACACTGAGAGGTACTCACCTGGGTATCGAAGACGTTGTTCAGTGTAACACCAAATTGGTGGTAGAGTGCCCCAGCATCACCACGACAGTCATGCGCAACCTGTAAATACCATAAACAGTTAGGACAGTGACTGGATGTAGGTGACAGGCTCTTGGTCGAAGCAAGTGGATACTGTCACCTAGTGTGTGTGTGTGTGTGTGTGTGTGTGTGTTAGAGAGCGCGCGCTCAACCAAATGTGGTTCCAGGGGTCGAGTCATAGGCCCTGACCCAGCCTCTTCGCTAGTCGCTTTATCATACCTTTTCTGAAAGCTATGTATGGATCCTGCCTCCACTATCTCACTCCCAGATTATACCTTTACTATACATTTGAAGAGTTTCGAGAGCTTATCTACTCTCTGAGCCCGGTCATGGAGCTTGCCTTGTCAACCAGGCTGTTGCTGCTGGAGACCAGCTGTCTCACATATCCATCACAGCCTGGTTGATCTGGCACCTGGTGAAGATACTTGTCCAGTTTCCTCTTGAAGGCTTCTACACTTGTTCCAGCAGTGTTTCTGATATCTCACGGTAAGATGTTGAATAGTCTGGGACCCTGCATGTTGATACAGTGTTCAACTTCTTGATAATTCTAAGGATAAAGACATACTCAACATCTCTATGACTTATCTGAGTTAAGTTCCAGTAGTGGCCCCTTGTTGCTGTGTCCCATCTCTGGAACATTCTGTCCCTATCTACCTTGTCAATGTCTATCAGTATTTTGTACACAGTTATCATATCTCCCTTTATCCCTTGTCCTCTAGTGTCATCAGTTGAGTTCCCTTAGCTTCTACTCATAAGACATATCCCTTAGTTCCAGGACTAGTCTTGCCCTTTCTCGATTTCTAGATACGATCGACCAGGTGTGGGTTCCAAACTAATGCTGCGTACTCCAGTATGGTGCTGACGTACACTGTGTACAGTGTCGTGAATGAATCCTTATTTAGATGTTAAAACGCTAATCTTAGGTTTACCAGAGGCGCATTTACTGCAGCAGTTATTTGGTTGATGTGCGCCTCAGGAGATATGTTCGGTATGATGCTCACCTCAAGTGAGGTTTGCAGCCTTTGCCCCCCCCCTCCCTCCCTCTTCCCCTTCGAGCATGTACACCGTCTGTGGTCTTCTTTGTCCTTCCCCAACATTCGTAACTTTGTACTTGGCGAGATTAAACTCCAGGAGCCACTTATCAGACCAGTCTTCCAGCCTGTCTAATTCCCTCTACAGTCTTTCCTGGTCCTCATCCACTTGTATTCTCCTTATTAATAGGAACTAGGACTATTAAGTACGTGAAGTCCCGTGAGCTTTCCGTTCGGTAATTAAACTTGAGAATTGTTTTAAGAGGTTGGCGAGGACTCCAGGTGTAAATATTGCCAAGGTGATGAGTGGTAACTTCTAACTCTGTGTAAGTTAGCTTCGGTTATATCAACATCCACTTACTCTGTGTAAGTTAGCTTCGGTTATATCAACATCCACTTAAAGAACAACAGTCAGCTGTAGTAGTGAGTCACGAGTCGTGAGAGGGGAAACTCTCACCTCTTGAACGATAAGGACAACGTGCTCTCACGCAGGGTTCAATCTACAAACATTCTTTGTTGAATGTGGTGAGCTCAGGGCTCCTTGACAGTGGCTGAGGTCAGGGCTCCTTGACAGTGGTTGAGGCCAGGGCTCCTTGACAGGAGGTTGAGGTCAGGGCTCCTTGACAGGTGGTTGAGGTCAGGGCTCCTTGACAGGAGGTTGAGGTCAGGGCTCCTTGACAGGAGGTTGAGGTATGGGCTCCTTGACAGGAGGTTGAGGTCAGGGCTCCTTGACAGGTGGTTGAGGTCAGGGCTCCTTGACAGGTGGTTGAGGTCAGGGCTCCTTCATAGGTGGGTGAGGTCAGGGCTCCTTCATAGGTGGGTGAGGTCAGGGCTCCTTGACAGGTGGTTGAGGTCAGGGCTCCTTGACAGTGGTTGAGGTCAGGGCTCCTTGACAGTGGTTGAGGTCAGGGCTCCTTGACAGTGGTTGAGGTCAGGGCTCCTTGACAGGTGGTTGAGGTCAGGGCTCCTTGACAGGTGGTTGAGGTCAGGGCTCCTTGACAGGTGGTTGAGGTCAGGGCTCCTTGACAGGTGGTTGAGGTCAGGGCTCCTTGACAGGTGGGTGAGGCCACACCAGTGACGGTACTAATAAAATATCTTGTGTCCTCACATCCTCCTTCAAGACAAGTGATATACAGAAGTAGTGTAATTTACTCATCACAGAGTGAATACGACTGACTGGTGTTATGGCAACACTTCCCTCACTCAGTACACAGATTTTACAAATGTTTCAAAAACGTGACCATGGAGTCAAAGACCGTAAAATATTCAACAGATATAACAGGTAAAGTATTGAGAGGGATACTCAGATTTCTGACAAATCTCAAAAATCGGAAGTAAACACGAGAAAAATACGTTTTAAGAGAGTACAAAGTTCAGTACCCCAGGGGATGGTCCTGGCGCCCTCACTGATTCTCATCTTCACAGAAGACATAGATAAAAACACTAGACACAGCTTCATGTCATCCTCCGTCAACGATACCAAAATAATCATGAACCTTCCTACTATATAATACTAGAAATACAAATATCGAGAAAGTCCCTAAAACACAAAGGAATAATTAAAAAATCTAGACAATCATGTCAGGTGACCTATCATTTGGGTTGACCTGTAGCTTGCTTCACACGCTGAGGGTCCGTGGTTCGATTCCACGGCAAGGGTGAAAACATTGGGCGTGTTTCCTTACGCCCATCAGTAAAATGGGTACCTGGGTGTTAGTGAACTGGTGTGGGTCGCATCCTGGGACAAAATTAACGTAATTTGCGGGAAATGCTCAGCATAACAAGCGGCTTTCTATATAGTAGTATGTCATTGATGTCAGCTATGGTCTGTATACCTTGTACATGTACTGGTAATAATAAAGATGTATTAACCTAACAAAGTCAATGCCACGAAGACCAGGAAGAAGACTTGTCAGATTATGTGAATTTTTCGATAACACGAGAATCGTTGTTTTTAAGTCACTTGTGTTCTCACCTCTAGAATATTACTGCCTGGTCACAGCTGCTGTCAAGGCAGGAGGGATATCGAGGCTGGTCAATATACAGAGATCGTTTAATGCATAGTCAATAAGCACATTAAATACTAGAAACACCTCAAAGTACTTCTATGTACATATGGAAAATATTTGAGGGTTACGTCTCTAGTGTATTCACTACCATAAATTACAGACAGTGTGAGCAAAGTAACATTTATGAAGGGATTCAGGGAAACCGGCAGGCCGGACTTGAGTCCTGGAGATGGGAAGTACAGTGCCTGCACTCTGAAGGAGGGGTGTTAATGTTGCAGTTTAAAAACTGTAGTGTAAAGCACCCTTCTGGCAAGACAGTGATGGAGCGAATGATGGTGAAAGGTTTTCTTCTTCGGGCCACCCTGCCTTGGTGGGAATCGGCCAGTGTGATAATAATAATAAAAAAGCTGACATCAATGACATACTATTATATAGAAAGCCGCTTGTTATACAGAGCATTTCTTGCAAATTAGGTCAGTTTTGTCCCAGGATGCGACCCACACCAGTCCACTAACACTCAAATACCCATTTTACTGATGGGAGAACATGGACAACCGGTGTAAAGAAACACGCCCGATGTTTCCACCCCATCGCCGGGAATCGAACCCAGACACTCATCGTGTGAAGCGAAATCTTTGCCACCAGCATACATAATACCTACGCCCACAACTGTGGCTCAGAACTTTTCAATCAAGACTGATAAACATGTGAAATCACATTACTGTACAAGCCAGAGCAATGTGGGTTTAAGTAGGTCGTTCTCGCCATCTCTGAACCATTACGACACTGATCTAAGACAACGATTCTCAACCAGGGGTGAATTTACCCCTTAGGGGTCAAAAATTACATGGCAAGGGTTAAATATTTAATGTACCTGATAAATGAATAATAATTCAATTAAAATTTTCTGACCTTGTTATTCTGTCCCTTAATAATGGAGATAATTTTTTGTATGGAAGTACTGGAGAAACATCAACCCGAGGGGGTTAATGATGGAGGAAAATGTGAGAATCCCTGATGTAATATATAATGAAAGACAAATATAATACAGATGTAGTGTACCAGGTTTTATTCCTCTTTATATTCTTACACCCAAGACAGAATATTCTTCGCAAAAATTTTCAAAACCTTGAAACGATTAACACCAATGACACAGCCAGTAGCTACACCTGATAATAACTCAGGTCGTTCAGGCCCCACTAAAAACTCATGCAGACAACCTCAGTGCTAGAAAAAATTCTTAAACCCAGTCTGAAGTTTAAAACAATGTGAAAGCCCTTACTACAGCCCTCACTACAGCCCTCACTACAGCCCTCAAAGTGATAATGTCAGAAGATCCAACATTTAAGGATCACAACAGTATTTCTATCAGTCACAAGAAAAGCGAAAGGCTGGATAACTAGAACTTTCAAAACAAGAGATTCTAAGCCAGTGATGATACTCAAGTTCTTTATTCTCTTTAAACTAGAATATTGTAGTCATTACGGCAGGAAAATCTCAGATTGTGGGAAAATAAAAAAAAACTTTCACTCAGTATAAATTTAACCTATCTCGTACATTATTGGGAATGTTGAAATGTACTCCTTGGAATGTAGGAGAGAAAGATGCATCATAATTTATATTTGGAAAACTTTGGAGTTATTTATCAAAATCTGCACACCGAAATCACTGAATATGAAAGAGAAATGACAGATTGTACAGAATACCTCTAATGAAAAGTAGCGATGCAGTAAGTGTAAAGGCACCAAGACTCTTCAACACTCTCTCTTCATACGTATGGAAGGTTTACCAACACACTCCTAGCTGTCTGGTGGCTAAAGCTCCCGCTTCACACACGGAGGGCCCGGGTTCGATTCCCGGCGGGTGGAAACATTTCGACGTGTTTCCTTACACCTGTTGTCCTGTTCACCTAGCAGCAAATAGGTACCTGTGTGTTAGTCGACTGGTGTGGGTCGCATCCTGGGGGACAAGATTGAGGACCACAATGGAAATAGGATGACATACTGTCTTGGGTTATCCTGGGTG